TGCAAATGAGGGGCAGGTGAGCTGGCTGGACTAGACGTGTGTGCTGCTAACTATGTTAGCCTATGTTGACCACATGCCTCTGAACTAGGCACTGTGCTAGCAGTGAGACGGGGGTGAAGCACAGAATAACCATGTGCCCTCTTGCATGGAGTGAAATCTACCCCACGTCTATGGGGGGAAGGGAAAAAGGGCAGCTTGGCCTCACTGCTCCTCCCCCTTCATCAGGTTTTTCCTTAAGGAACCATTTAAAAATTTTCCTTAAGGAACCTGTTAAAAATTTAGGTTATGGCTGCTCACATCTGTAAACCCATCACTTTGGGGAGGCTGTGGTGGGAAGATTGCTTGAGGCCAAGAGTTTGAGACCAACCTGGGCAACATAGGGAGACCTCATATCTATAAAAAAATATTAAAAAATAGGCAAGGTGGTGTGTACCTGTAATCCCAGCTATTCTGGAGGCTGAGGTCAGAGGATCGCTTGAGCCCAAGAGTTCAAGGCTGCAGTGAGCTATGATTGCACCACTGTACCCCCAACCGAGGTGACAGACAAAACCTTACTTTTAAAAAAAAGCAGAGATGGGGGTGGTTTGAGGGTCAGGCCACAACCTACTGAATCACAATCTCCAAAGGATGATTACTTACTTGAAAGTAACTTTCAAGAACCAACACTCACATCTTAATAACTCTTCTGGAAAGCCTATGAAAATGTAACTTTCTTGGAGGAGAAACACACTGATTAGTTGATCCCCAGGGGGTAGAACTAGGGACTGGAAAGCCTGGTGTCCCAGAAGGCAGGGAATGGCTGGCAGGACTCTGAGCTGACAGGGGAGGAGGAAGATGCTGAGATTGGGGAGTGAGCCCTGGGGAGCCCCCAGGCAAGAACGAACACCCCATGTGCTGCCTCCTCTCTTGCTGCTGGAGTGCAGGTCACGTGTGCAGGCGCACCACTGGCCTACAGGACTCTGGGCAGTTCTTTTCACTTTCTGGACCTTAATTTTCCATTTATGGAAGAAAATGGAAACCAGGCCCCACCTGAGTTAGTTATGTGTGTAGCAAAGAGGAAGGGAACCAAACCTACTCCTTAAAGATGCAGTGAATTTGATTCACACCAGTAAGTATCTATCTTCTTTAGATGAAAAGCTCCAACCTACTGCAAGTTTGCAGGACATACCTGCAATAGGCATTTGCTATTCCTGTTGTTTACACTTTACACTGAATTTCACAAACCTATTTCCATCATGATCCACAATTTAAAGAAATATTTCCCAACCTCATATACACACTTCAATATCTATCAACTGAAACAAACATTTCATGAAACAAAACCTACCCTTAGGTACAATACAGAATATTTTCTTTTCCATTGTATTCCTGTTCATATTTTTAAAATCTTGGTCATGACCCACTGAACTCATTACACGACCTTCAGATAGGTCACAACTCGAACTTTAAAAAGCACTGCCCAGAGTAAACCACAACGGTTCGACACCCAGGATCTTACGTGGTTCTCTCTCCTGAGTGACTGGTGTACATACACCATTCTACTGAGAAGGTAAAGGGCTCCACTAGGTGAACTGTCCAAAGTCACAGGTGCCGAGTGCCCTTCAGATCTGGCTGAGGTTCCGTGCAGAACAGGGCTTTTCCTGGGCGGCAAACACCATACCTTGATCCCCAGCCATTCCCAAGAACCAAAGACACTTCCCCTGTAGAGGGAAGAGGAGTCTCTACAAAATGACAGAGCCTCCAGCCAACCAGAACTGGCCGCCTCAGCCCCACCCTCTTCCAGGTGATTGGCCCCAAAAGGGTTGCCAGCCCCACTCCACCTTGGGGCCAGCTTCCCCCAAAAGGTCGCATCCCTGGCAGGTCCCACCCAGGCAGTCCATCCTGACTGCTCCTGTGGGTGCAGCTCCTGAGGTAAAGGGGGAGGAGCTGCTTGGTCCAGGTCTCCAGGAACAGGCCATTTCTTCCCCGGCTCTGAGCTGGGAAAGTCTGCTCCAGGCCATCCTACCTACTTCCCCATATGGCTCTCAAGGAGGGACTCAGGTGAGTGGGGACAATGGTGTGGAGAGGAAGAAAGCTTGGGTTCAGCTGAGCTAAGAGGGATCCAGTCTGATGGCTAAAACAGTACCAAGGAGAGGCACCAGAGCCAGCCCGGGAGTACCAGCTGAGGCCTCCAATCCTGGGGAAAGGTGACTCCAAGAGGGGACATTGCCCCAGGAGAAGAAAGACAATCCATGTGCATGGACACCGGGGTGGGGAAGGCTGTATTCCACAAGATTTTGTAGCCAACGAAAAGCTGGACTCCCCTTGCTTCCCTTAACTCCAAACCCCCTTGGTGAGCTGGAAAGCAGAGACCCGGCTACATTCCCTCCCCGACTGTAACTGAGAGCTCCCTCTATCCCCACTGGGACTGATGGTCCAGGACTAGGAACCTGTGCCCCCTTAAGACCTAATGGCTGATCTTTAACCCCTTCTTGAAGCCAAGGAGAGTGGGGAACAGGGCACAGGGTGGAGCTTGAGGGACTACCTTCTGCAGGCAGAATCTGAACAAGAAATATGGAGGAGTGGGCTGGTCAGAGGCCTCCACAGACTATGGGTTCCCAGGCTGGGGCATAGGAGGGGCAGGAGGAGCTGGGGTCCCACCCAGTCCTGGGTCTCAGCACCCTCCCAGGCCTGACCACAGGAGTTCACAAGACCATCTCTGCCTGTGTGCCCTGGCTGAGGCCCAGAGCCCAGAATAAGCATCGGTTTGCCCTACCCTGGTTGGGAGGAGGCTGGTAAAGAGGGTGGGACAGCCACAGAGGGGGAGAAAGCCCTCCAGCCTTTTCCTGCTCCTGTAGTACTTTACACAGTACCTCGCATACCTCCCACTGTGCACCGCCAGAGGCAGCCTTGCCAGCTCCCAGTACAGGGTTTGACCAGGCTTCTAGGAGTCAGAGGAGCCCAGCTGCAGCCAACCATCCAGGAGCGCAGACAGGAGCTGAATAGAGTGGGAAGGGAAGCAGCCAAGCCCACAGGAAGAAATAACAGGGCCGAGAACCTTGTGAGATGAGCCTCAGGGTTGAGCTAGGCCCAGGTCAAATAGAGCCCAAACGCCATGCTGGAAGCTCTGGCTGGGGAATCCGACAGTCCTACTCAAAGCCCAAGCCTACACCTTACCCCCTGTGCAAATGCCTTGGTGAAAAGTATAAACAGAAACAGCAAATGCCTATTGAAGGTGCGCCCTGAAAACTTGCAGTAGGCTTTTCACCTCAAGAACACGGATACTTATTGGAGGAGAAACAAACTGATTAGTTGATCCCCAGGGGGTAGAACTAGGGACTGGAAAGCCTGGTGTCCCAGAAGGCAGGGAATGGCTGGCAGGACCCTGAGCTGACAGCGGAGGAGAAGGATGCTGAGATTGGGGAGTGAGCCCTGGGGAGCCCGCAGGCAAGAACGAACCCCCCATGTGCTGCCTCCTCTCCTGCTGCTGGAGTGCAGGCGCACCACTGGCCTACAGGACTCTGGGCTGTTCTTTTCACTTTCTGGACCTTAATTTTCCCTTTATGGAAGAAAATGAAAACCAGGCCCCACCTGAATCAGTTATGTGTGTAGCAAAGAGGGAGAGAACCAAACCTACTCCTAAAAGAAGATGTGGTGCATCTGATTCACACCAATGAGGCCACCCAGCCTTGCAGAGGTGAGATGTCACTGAGATCCGCTCCAGGCCTCTGCACGTCCTCTCTCACACAGTGACCCTGGCCCAGCCCCCTTGCTAAGTGCTGCCCTCAGGTATTGTGTGTCCCCTGGACATCGGTGTTCACCTGGCTGTCCCGACTCAGTGCTTCTCAAGCTACAGTTTGCATTTCCTTGATCTTTCCTTCTATGTTCTCAGCGGTTGATCCCAGTGACCCAAATGGACCCCTGCTTTCTCCCCTGAGCAACTGCAACCCTAAGCCAGTGAATTAACCTTTGTAAGCCTCAGTTTCCTCATGTGTAAAGTAGAGATAAGTACAGCATCTCCTTCAAGGGGCTGTGGTGTGCCTTTAACAGGACGGGCACAAAATACATTTGGCCAAGTATCCGTGTCAGTGAGTGTCTGGCATTATGCATAAGGAGTGCAGACTTAACACTGAAGAAAACGGAGTTTTCAGCAAAGGAGCACCAGTTCACTTGGAAGAGAGCATGAATACAAATAACTCATTCCTTGTTTCATTCATTTGCTGAACAAATACTTATCAATAGCATGAATTATGAGGCAGGCTCTGGAATTTGGCACCAGGAATACAAAGGCTGGCAAAACAGAGAAACTTGGAGCCTAGTGGGGCAGACAGTCCCTAGCATCGCTTGGCAGGTACTAGAGGAGAGGTCTGGGAAAGCGACAGAGGCGCAACCTGGGGGAGGGACCTAAGAGGAGGAGATGTCGAGGCCGGCTTCAGACAGGAGGAAGCTGGGTGCTGAGGAATGACGCGGAGCTTGTTGGCTGATGGGAGGAAGAGAGCAATCAGAGCAGAATACAGAGGTGGGGACGCCTAGGAGACGTCATGGTGGAGAGTAAAAGATGGAGACTGGGAAGCAGGGTCAGGAGACTGTTATAGGAATCCAGATTAGAAACAAGGAGGCATGAATAGGACAGTGAGGGAGGCCAGGAGGGGAGTTTTGGGCACTAGGAAGGAGGCAAAAGCAACAAGTTGGCTGTCAGAAGAGAAAGCAAGGGTCCCACTTGGCTCACTGGGATCAATCGCTGAGAACACACGATGGGGAGAGTGAATGGGAGGATGCGGGAAGAGTGAGTGGGGGGACGGAGGACAGTGAGTGGGAGCACCCACAGGGTTTGCCGATGGACTGCATGCAGGGAATTAAATTATTTGTAACAATACTTTTATTTAACCCAGCACATCCAAATTTACACCTGTTTCACTGTTTTAATGTGGCTACTAGAAATGTTTAAATTACATATGTGGCTCACATTATACTTCCACTGGATGATGCTATTCCAGATCTCTTCCTACACATCATGAAAGATGCGGCCATACATGACTGCAAAGGCTCGGGTGCACAGGCACAGGTGCTACCCCCTGCCAGAAGCAAGGTCTGCCTCTCCATATTAGTTGTTCCTTTCTTTTCACCTTAACACGTTAGGGTCTCTTTTCCAGAGAGTACATATAAATCTACCTCACCCTTTTCAATAGCCATGCTGATCTCCATTACACAAGTTGAGTACCCCTCATCCAAAAATCTGAAATCCCAAACGCTCTAAAATCCGAAACTTTTTGAGCACCGACAGGACATTCAAAGGAAATGCTCCCACTGGAGCATTCAGAATTTCAGATTCCCAGATTAGGGATACTTAGTCAGTAAATACAATGCAAATATTCAAAACTCCAAAAAAGTCCAAAATCCAAAACACTTTTGGTACAAACTTTTGAATAAAGGATAACCAACCTGTACAGATATGCCTAATTCATTCGTCCAGTTCCCTACTAACGAACCCTGAGGTTGTTGCATTAGTTTGCTTTTTCAGAGAAGGCAACAGGAACATCCTGGGACTAGTCACCGTAGAGTCTCCATTCCTAACTGCAGGCAAGCTGGCCAGGGGCTGTGGGCACTGAGTGTTACAGCGAAGGGGCTGGACTTGGAAGGCTTCTCAGGCATGGTTAAGAGATGTGGACGGTGTACTGCAGTCAGCAAGAAGCCACAAAACAACTTAAATTTTTTGTGTGTGTAAATTGCTAACTTTGAATTTTTCCTTCATTAAAGAAGCAACATACTGTAAATACATTAAAGACAATTAGAGAGAAAATAAGAAACTAATTTTATTGCACAAACATTCTTCCTTTTAGTCTTATTTTCTGGTGCATGTTTTTATTCTTGCTAATTGTAATCAGAGTGCACATCAATTTTAGATCCTGCTTTCTTCCTTTAATGTTCCTGTGTGAGAATTTTTCTATGTGACTGCAGAGTCTTCCTAATACATTTATTTAGCCAGTCCCTTTGGCTGGACACTAGAGCCTTCTTCAGTTATATTTGAGCAGCTCAGATAATGCCTCTCCCTGTGACCCAAAACGCCTTCTCCATGGGTGCTTTCCAGGCAGTATTCGACCAAGCTCAGGTCTTGCTTGTGTAAGGGAAACAAGCACGCACCCATCCATACAACCACCCCGTCCCCTCCAGTTGCCACCCCATCTCTTTCCTCCTTACAGCCCGACTTCTGGAAAGACAGCCCCACTCCCACCCAACCCATGTGCCTGTCCTTAAGTCCTCTACCTGCTCAGTCTTCCTCCCACTCCCACCTGGGCCCTGGCCTCCTCTCCCTCTGTACTCTCTCCCTCTCCCCCATGACATCCCTGCCCTCCTGGTAAATCCCAGAATTTTCTCCTGAGCCTGCCTGCCTTCTGGGCTCCAGCCCCCTTCCTCCAACCAGACAACCAGGCATCTTCTCCTTTCTGGTCCCCCAGCCCCGTCCCTCTAATCCATGGCCAAGTCTGGCCCACGTGCCCTCCCTGACAGCCCCTCGCCACCTATTCCTCTCCATCCAGCTGCCAACTCCCTGATGTTGCCCCTAATACCTCCCAGGGGCTGGCACCTAACTCATCTTCCTGCCTCCAGCAGTCTCCTCCCTGCCACCCCACCATGGCCAGGCTCCAGATTTCAGCTGGACTACTTCAGGGTTTGTGGTTTTGGTTTTTTTTTTTTTTTTTTCAAATAAAAATCTGACTGACTCACTCCCCAGAGGAAATACCTTTCAGGGCTCCCCATGACCCTCAAGATGAAGTCCAATTCCCCGGGCCTAAAATGCGGGCCCCGGGTGACTTGGCCCCAGCTCACCTCTGCAGCCTCATCCCTCCCTTCTCATCTGCTACTACCCTCCACCCTGCAGTTCCACAGATGTTCCAGGAGTGAGGCTTCCTCACTTTTGCACACTGTTGTTTCTTTTCCACGGACCTCTCTTCCCCCTCTATGCCTTCTTCACCTGAAGAACTTCTATTAATAATTTTCTAGGTCCTAGCTTAGAAGTAACTCCTCCTCCAGGAGGCCCCAACGACCTCTTCATCTACCAAGGCTCAGGTGCTACCCTCCAATTTGCCTCACAGCACCCGGCATTGCTCCCAATCACAGCATTCATTGTGCCGTGTTCCACACATCTGTTTTCAGTCTGTCATGTGACCCACTCCCTCACCCACTACACCCACATCTTTCTGCCTCCGCACCCTGAAGACAGGGTCTGTGTCCCATTCCCCTCTGAATCCGACTTAGCACAGTGCTCAATGCTGAGCTTGTGTCCAATAAATAGATGTTGAATGCACGACTTAACAGAAACTGATGAACATCTTGATACATAAACTTTTCTCATTCTGAAGATTATCTCCTTTGAACAGATTCCCAGAAGCTGGGAATTACTGAATCAAAGTGGATGAATATTGAACACTTTCAATTTCCATAGCTAAGTAGCTTTCCAAAAGGCTGTAGCAATTTACACTCCCACCAGCAAGTGTAACAGTGCCAATCTCACTGCATTCTTGCAGCTTGGCTATTCTCATTATGCCTTTTATTTTTTAAATCAAGACAGAGTCTACCTCTGTCACCCAGGCTGGAGTCCAGTGGCATGATCATAGCTCACTGTAACCTGTAACTCCTGGGCTCAAGTGATCTTCCTGCCTCAGCCTCCTGAAGAGCTGGAACTACAGGTGCATACCATCTGGCTAATTTTTTTTTTTTTTTTTTTTTTTTTTTTTTTTTGAAACAGGGTCTTGCTCTGTCACCAGGCTGGACTGCAGTGGCACAATCTCAGTTCACTGCAACCTCCGCCTCCCAAGTTCAAGTGATTCTCCTGCCTCAGCCACCCGAGTAGGTGGGACTACAGATGCGCGCCACCACGGCCAGTTAATTTTTGTATTTTTAGTAGGGACAGGGTTTCCCCATGTTGGCCAGGATGGTCTCGATTGCTTGACCTCGTGATCCACTCGCTTGGCCTCCTTAGGTGCTGGGATTACAGGCATGAGCCACTGCGCCCAACCCTGGCTAATTTTTTAATTTTTTGCAAAGGCAGGGTCTTGCTCTGCTGCCCAGGCTGATCTCGAACTCCTGGCCTCAAGCAATTCTCCTGCCTTGACCTCCCAAAACACTGGGATTACATGCACAAGCCCCTCCCAGCCCCATTATGTCTTTTTTTTAAAGTGCTCATTTTTTAGGCAAAACACACCACCCTGTTCTAATTTGTATATCTTTGATTACCAGTGAGGGTGAACATTTTTCCATATATTTGCCTACTAAATGCACTTCTTCTTGGAGGATTTACCTGTTTGTGTGACGTGGAAACTGTTAAGGCAGGTTGACTTGTTATGAGATGACTCTGGGGCTGTGGAGGAAGTGACCAGGAGCATGAAGAGTGCTGCTGCAATGATCCTGTGACAGAGGAGCAGGCCAGGGTCACTGTGGGGCACGGGGAAAAGCGGGAGGAGCAGAGATCAAGGAGACCAGGTCAACCTGGGACTGAAAGCAGACAGCAGGTGCAGAGCAGGAGGGGTCAGGGTGCACCCAGGTTTCTGGCTTGGCGCAGTGAACTGGAGGAGGGGCTGTGCTCGGAGACAGTGCCCAGGTGGATCCACACACCTGCAAGGCAGTTCGCAGCACTCTTAACTACACACACCTGCTAAGGAACAGGTACGTGGGGCAGCAGGAGAGGCAGGGGCAGGAGGGTCTGAGGTTGGCAGGCTTCTTGAAACAGACCAGGGGAGCCAGGTTTTAAAAGGATTTGTAGGCCAGGCACGGTGGCTCATGCCTGTAATCCTAGCACTTTGGGAGGCCGAGGTGGGTGGATCACCTGAGGTCAGGAGTTTGAGACCAGCCTGGCCAACATGGCGAAGCCACATCTCTGCTAAAAATAGAAAAATTAGCCAGGCAAGGTGGTGGGCACCTGTAATCCCAGCTATTCGGGAGGCTGAGGAAGGAGAATCACTTGAACCCAGGAGGCAGAGGTTGCAGTGAGCTGAGATTGTGCCATTGCACGCTAGCCTGGGCTACAGAGTGAGACTCCGTCTCAGGAAAAAAAAAAAAAAAAAGAAGGGAGGAAGGAAGGATGGATGGGAGTGGAGTGAGGAGGCTGCCCAGGGGATGATCAGGGTGTGTTCAGGAAGAATGGTCATCACTAACTAAAGCTGAGCGAACTATTGCAATATGAGAGACCTTTGTTCTCATCAATTAGCTTGTGTGAAGGCAATGACAGCCCTAAGGCAGGTGTTATTACCCCATCCTATAGATGAGACTGATGTGCAGAGGACCAGACCTTGCCCCAGGGTCAGACAGCTAATGAGTGGTGGAGCTGGGATTCGAACCCAGGGCTCTGGCTCCTGTGTCTGTGCTCCTTACTGTGTGGCTGCAGTTGCTCTAGATATGTGAGTACTCAGGAAGGTGGGAGGACAGAGGAGCGAGCTCCCCAGAAGGAGCTTATTAAGATTCTCAGCATTTGGGGCCCTTCCCCGAAAACAATGAACTGTGGACAAATCCCAAAGCCCACCTCTTTTGAGCCAGGAAGTGGGCTGCTGAGCTCTGCTTGGAGGAGTTCACCTGGCCTGGTGACTGCAGCCACCACAGACACATGGTCTCTGACCACAGCCAGCCCAGTAACTCTTCTCTAAGTCCCAGACAGCTCTTAACTCCCAGTGACTGACACGGGAAGATTCCTTGAGCCATGGTGGAGACAAGCCTGGGCAACATAGCAAGACCCCATCTCTTAAAAAAAAAAACAAAAAAATTAGGTGTCTATAGTCCCAGCTACACAGGAGGCTGAGGCAGGAGGAGAGCTTGAGCCCAGGAGTTCAAGGCTGCAGTGAGCTGTGATCACACCACAACACTCCAGCCTGGGTGACAGAGTGAGGCTGTCTCTTAAAAAAAACAAAACAAACAAACAAACAAACCACTCCCAGTCACGGAGCCACAAACACCTGTGCATCCTCTCCTGGCCTCTCCTGTCCAAGGTCAGTCCCACCTTCCACCCAGGAGAAGTACCCCAATCCCTAATGTTATTATCCCCCCAACCTGCCCAAGTTCATCCCCTGCACAAGAAACTGGTAACACTGGCTACCTTCATGCAGAGGAACTGGGTGGCCAGAAGTAGGAAAGACTTTTCATGTATGTGTGCATATAAACATTTGTCTATAATACAAATGAGTTACTGATGCCCCCTTCCCGCCCCCAGGGCCTGGAAGAGAATCTTCTGGCGGCAGATCCTACTTGCACTTGGCCTCTTAGGCCTGTTTCTGTATGGCCTCCCTAAATTCAGGTACAAGCCCCTTTCCCCAGCACTTGAGGTGGGACCACAGAGTCACGTTTAAAGGGGAACTGTCTAAGGGCCTCCTTGAGGGATGGAGGGCAGAAGCTAGCTCACCTCAAGTGTCCTGGTGAGCTCTCTCTCCTTGTAAGAAGCAAAGCCAGAGGGCTCCTGGCCAGGCTGACATGCTTCTCACGGCGCCCCCCTCCCGCCACCGCCACAGGCATCTGGAAGCCCTCATCCCCATGGGTGTCTGCCCTTCCGCCACAATGTCCCTGCTGAGAGACAACTTCACAGGTGCCCTGCGTCCCTGGTAAGAAGCTCCCATCCCTCCTACTCCAAGGGCACCCCCAAACCCTACAGAGCTCTGCCCCATGTTCCTGCCCTCCACACATCTCCCACCCCAGCAGAGCCAGGCACTCTGCCACCAAGCCCAGCAGCCCCATCGGGCCACACGTCTCCCAGTCCTCTGTGTTGCTCTGAGCTGGAGGCTTCCAGGGGCAGCAACTAGGTCTCATCGGTCTATGGGTCCCTAGGGCTCAGCACTGGGGAGGTGGCAGTGAACATGCACCAAGTGGGTGGATGAATGGAGCTATTTCCCATCCCTGCCCTGGCCAGGTCCCGGCCTGAAGTTCTGACCTGTACCCCCTGGGGGGCTCCCATTATTTGGGATGGCATTTTCGACCCAGATGTGGCCAAGCAAGAGGCTACACAGCAGAACCTCACCATTGGGCTGACTGTCTTTGCTGTAGGCAGGTAAGGCCTGGGAAGGGGAGCAGTGCTGTCAAGGCTGTGAGTGGGAAGGGTGTGCATGTGATGGAGGGGGCGGGGACCCTGCTCCCCTGTGCCATGGGATCCCAAAGTGAAGCGAGAAGCAAAGACAGCACTTCTTGCCCCACACCCCCAGGTAAGCACAGGACCGACCACCCTTCTCCTCCTCCCTGGACACCAACACCATAGAGCCCACCCAACACAGGCAGCCAGGGCTGTTCTAGAACCACATCTGGAAGGGACCTGCCTAGGGGCTGGGGCTGATCCATCTGGAGACACTGGTTTTGTAGTGAGAAAATGATGGTGTCTTTCAGGTGAGAGTGGTGAGAGGAGGGGAGTGTGACTGGGTAAGTAAAGGGATGATTCACTGCAGTAGGGGCCCACTGGAGGTCAGCAGCTCAGGTGCACGTACACAGGATTTGAGGGGGGGGCAGGTGCCAAGCAAGTCTGATGAAGGGAGAGAGGCTGGGGAGCTGAAGGATTGCAAGGGAGTGAATCTGAACTGGGCAGAGGGAAGTGAAGAGAGGAAGGGGGGTGACAAATACTGAGAAAGTGGCAGGGTCACCAGATTAGTGGATTCAGTGAGGTAGGACTGTTTTGGGTTGGGGATGGTAATCACAGTAAGTGAGCTAGAAGAACGAGGTCCCTACAGAGTGGGACAGACATTGGTGAAGACCAAGTCCAGGGAGTAGCCATGGGAACAGGTGACTGGAGGGAACAGTTGACTGTGGAGGGCACAGGACAGAATCACTACAGGAAAGGAGGTCAAGAGAAGAAATGGCAGGAACACTGACCTCCCCACTACGGATGACAGGGAGTGTCTAAGCTGGGTGTCCACCTTCCTCAAGTGACACGAAGGGGACTCTTGGCTGACAGTGGCAGTCAGATCCCATAACCTAGTTTCAGGCAACTAAAAGAAGCATTTCTAAAAATGGAACTAGTTGCTTTGGGAAGGTGGTGAGAACCTCCCATTCAGGAAGAGATACTCAAAAGGATGGGGAAGGAATTTTGTCACCAGATACCCCATACAACTGTTCAAGGCTCCTCGAACTCTGTCCCCTACACCCTACAAGGGAGAGAAAGCGAGGAGTGCGACTGACAGGCAAGGGGCTGAAAAGGACCAAGGGCTGATCCGTGGACCAGGTGGGCAGAATTGCTGGGCTACTTGGGCCTTGACCTCTCCCAGGGCCTTGGTGCTCCCACTTCCATCACCCATGCTGACTAGGGCATTCCTGCCCCAGCCCTAGGGGTCAGACAATCTCAAGGTACAGAAAATTCTGGGATACTGAGGTCCTGAGCTCCAAGATTCTGAGTCCAACACTCCTAGATGCTGAGATTGCCTAAGTCTCTGATTCCCATTTCCCACAGTCACCAGGAATAGAGCAAGTGCAAGTAAAAGTACAGGTTCTAAGGCCACGCTGGGTTCAAATCCTGGCTCAAGCACTTACCAATGGCATATACAAGTTTCTAAAGCTCTTTAGATGAGACAATGCACATTGACTTAGAAAGCAGTGGCTGCCACACGATAAAAGTTCAAAGTATTATTAGGCACTATTACTATTATTTTAAAATGCTAGGATCCCAAGGTCTGTTCATACAGTATTCCAGGCGGCCCCGTTATCTATACAGTGAAAGACAGTGACTTAAAACAGCTTATTATTATGGCTCATAAAATAATTCTTTGGAAGGCCAGGCGCAGTAGCTTATGCCTGTAATCCCAGTACTTTGGAAGGCCAAGGCAGGTGGATCACCTGAGGTCAGGAGTTCGAGACCAGCCTGGCCAACATGGTGAAACCCCACTTCTACTAAAAATACAAAAAATCAGCCGGACATGGTGGTGGCCACTTGTAATCCCAGCTACTCGGGAGCCTGAGGCAGGAGAATCACTTGAAGCCAGGAGGCAGAGGTTGTAGTGGGCTGAGATGGCGCCACTGCACTCCAGCCTGGGCAACAGGAGCAAAACTCTATCTCAATAATAATAATAGTTCTGTGCGTCAGTAATTCAGACAGGCCTCAGCAGGAAGGGCTCGTCTTCTCATGCTCCCAAATACCTGGGTCTCAGCTGGGAGACCAACTGCTGAAGACTGATGGGGCCAGCTTGGGCTTCCTCACTCACGGCAGCACCCAAGTTCTGGGACTTTTAAATGGAGGCTCAGAGCTCTAAAGAGAGAAATGCTGCCAGTCCTCCAAAGGGCCAGTATGAGGCAGGATTGGCAGGCAATTTGCAAGCATCTTCAGTCCAACCCGCCCTGCCCCATCTAAGTTGAAAGATGCTAGGACTGGAGGGTCTGGAGTTCCAAGGCCAGGTGTGGGGAGGACCAGGCAGCACTGGTGGGGTGGGGGTAAGGTTGGGGAGGGGGTGAGGTGGGTGAGGTTGGGGTGCAGTAGGGGTGAGGTGAAGTGAGGTTGGGGTGGGAGTGAGGTGGGGTGAGGGTTGGGTGGGGTGAGAAGAGGGTGAGGGCTGGGTGGGGCGGGGGGGGTGAGGCGGGGGTGAACTTGGGTTGGGTGGGCTGAGGTAGGGGTAGGGGTGAGGCTGGAGTGGGGTGACTTTAGGGTGGGGGTGAGGGTTGGGTGGTGTGAGGTAGGGGTGACGGGTGGGGTGAGACCTGGGTGGGGCAGGGGTGGGGGTGAGGGTTGGGCGGCGTGGGATGAGGTGGGGGTAAGGGTGGGGTGGGGGTGAGGGTGGGGTGGGGCTGGGGGTGAGAGTGGGGAAGCCGGTCCCTCCTCGCTTCACTCTCAGGCTGACCGTGGCGCCGCGCCCTTAGGTACCTGGAGAAGTACCTGGAGCGCTTCCTGGAGACGGCGGAGCAGCACTTCATGGCGGGCCAGAGCGTGGTGTACTACGTGTTCACCGAGCGGCCCGGAGCGGTGCCCCGCGTGGCGCTGGGCCCGGGACGGCGGCTGCGCGTGGAGCTCGTGGTGCGCGAGCAGCGCTGGCAGGACGTGTCTATGGCGCGCATGCGCACGTTGCACGCGGCGCTGGGCGGGCGGCTGGGCCGCGAGGCGCACTTCGTGTTCTGCATGGACGTGGACCAGCACTTTAGCAGCACCTTTGGGCCCGAGGCGCTGGCCGAGTCGGTGGCGCAGCTGCACTCCTGGCACTACCACTGGCCGCGGTGGCTGCTGCCCTTCGAGCGCGACGCGCATTCGGCCGCCGCGATGGCGCGGGGCGAGGGCGACTTCTACTACCACGCGGCGGTGTTCGGCGGCAGCGTGGCGGCGCTGCGCGACCTGACGGCGCACTGTGCGCGGGGCCTGGCCTGGGACCGCGCGCGCGGCCTGGAGGCGCGCTGGCACGACGAGAGCCACCTCAACAAGTTCTTCTGGCTGCACAAGCCCGCCAAGGTGCTGTCGCCCGAGTTCTGCTGGAGCCCGGACCTCGGCCGGCGGGCCGAGATCCGCCGCCCACGACTGCTCTGGGCGCCCAAGGAGTACCGGCTGCTGCGGGACTAGAGCCGCCGCCGCCGGCTCCTGGCCCTCCGACTCCTCCGCGGGCCCAGCCCGCCCGGCCCAGCTCCCGCTCCGGGCGTCTTTGGCCTGGGGAGGGTATGGAGTGGGAGTCACGAGAGGAAGAGATCCTGAAACCGGGCAGGGCCCTTCTGGACGCTGATGGCGCTCTGGAGGGCAGAGAGATACTGGATGCAAAAGCCCTACCCGCTTCGTGTGTGCCCGTCCGTGGGAGTGGGAGTAGGAGGAGGAGCTCCTCGGTTCAAGAGAAAAATCCCCTTCCCTTAGCTTAGCAGTGAGCAAGGCACAACTGCAGTAATGCCTCGAGCGATCAGCCTGTAGACCTTTCACCCCTGAGCCTGCAGAATGCAGCTGGTGCCTCTGGAGATGTTTTAGTCCCATCTGCACCCCCACTTTTTAAATGAGGAGACTGAGACACAAAGAGGAAACATAACTGCCCAAGGACACAGAGGGTCTGAGTCCCTGTGATGTCAGCGGCTGGAGAGGCGTGGCTGGCCCCTCGGGCTGTCTCTGGGCAGGAGCCACAGGAAGAAATACAGGTGGCACCCCGTCATTGGCTCTGCCCTTTTACCTCCCCTGCCCATAAGCATGGTTTGTACATATTTCAGTAATATTATGATAAATTATTCCTGTACTGTGAGACAAAGTAGCAAACATAAGAAGCCATGTTTGCTCCTTTCCTTTGCCAGCATAATTTCACAAAACCCTGACTGGGACAGCATATAGATGTCAAAACAAAAAACACAGCTCCCCACGTCCCTTGCCGGAGTCACTATATTCCCTGAAAAAATAAGTGACTCTAGATATATCTCCATATAAGATAATGTCAATCGGGGTTAGTGATCATGCTTCTATAAACTATAACCAGATACACTCTTACACACAAACTTAGATACAATTTTACGCATACTAAAGCTTCACCACCTATATCTAAACTAAAATACCACATTCAGGCTGGGCATAGTGGCTTATGCCTGTAATCCCAGCACTTTGGGAGGCTGACACACACAGATCACTTGAGGTCAGGAGTCTGAGACCAGCGTGGCCAACATGATGAAACCCCATCTCTACTAAAAATACAAAAATTAGCAGGGTTGGTGGCGCACACCTGTAATCCCAGCTACTCGGGAGGCTGAGGCACGAGAATCGCTCGAACCTGGGAGGCGAAGGTTGCAATGAGCCAAGATCGCACCACTGCACTCCGGCCTCAGCAACAGAGCAAGACTTTGTCACCATAAAATAAATAAAATACTACATTCAAAGCGTCTGATAGAACCTCTCTAAAGAGCTCCTCCTGAGCCTTAGGCCTTGATCGATGGTCCTCAATAAGACTTCTAAATAACACTAATTTTAATTATTTAAAAACTTGCTTTTATTCTTTAGTTAACATTCCCAAATTGTTATTGTGGCCTTTTCTCCTAGACAGTCAAAGTCCAAAATGACATTTTCTGGCCTCGGGGCTATAACAGGGCGACATTCAGCCATAGTATCTGGGAGGGAAGTTTCCACATCCACGGCAGCTGTCTAGACTTCTGATCCCCAGTGGGGAAACACGGGCTCTGAATAGGAGTGTGAAGGCGTCAGACCCTCCCAGGAAGGTGGTCACAGAGCCAAGGAGATAGGGAAGGTAGCTGCTGAAGTCCCTGAGATTTTGTCTGACATTTGGGAAAACTGGGGCCCTGGGAGACTGGGAGTTCACCCTGGCTCTCCTGAATCTTTTATGTAGTATTATCATTTTAATAGCCTCCACTCCCAGGTAGGGCAGCAATTCTTGCTATTTACCAGGCCCAGCCATTGAGGGTAAGAGAGACCTGTCCTCTCAAAAGCAGTTCAAAATGTCTCTCATATAAACTAGATTAGCAAAACCCAGAAGGCCTTCTGGACTCAGGATTAGAGATGAGAATGGGCCAGGTGTGTCAGAACAGGCAATCTGGCCGGGCACAGTGGCTCACACCTGTAATCGCAGCACTTCGGGAGGCCAAGGCGGGTGGATCACGAGGTCAGGAGTTCAAGACCAGCCTGGCCAGCATGATGAAACCCTGTCTCTACTAAAAATACAAAAATTAGCCAGGTGTGGCGGTGGGCACCTGTAATCCCAGCTACTCGGGAGGCTGAGGCATGAAAATCACTTGAACCCAGGAGGCGGAAGTTGCAGTGAGCCAAGATCATGCCACTGCACTCCATCCAGCCCGGACAACAGTGCGAGACTCCATCTCAAAAAAAAAGGCTATTTTCTGACTGTGAGCTGGGGAAGATGTGTGTCCTTCACCTTACCCTGCAACATTCACTCAGGGCCACACATGCAGACCCTAACGATTGCTGCAGACCCTGACAATTGCTGCAGACCCTGACAATCGCTGGGCCATTCAATACCTGAGCATGAGCCAGTAAGAGATGATGTGAACTGGCTCTTCTTCTAACTGTGTGTGGGTAGACAAGTTCCTTACCTTTGCCGGCCTCAGTCTTCTCATGCGTGAAATGTGGATGCCATCTCCCTCCCTGCAGGGGTTGTGGTGGTGCTCTAGAAAACGTAACTTGCCTTCCTCTCCCTGCCTCCCCCTTCTCCAGCATGTTCAGAGAGTGCCAAGGATTTGCCAAAGAACAGTCATTTCCTGCTTTTTGTTTGTTTTTGAGACACCATCTCACTCTGTTGCCCAGGCTGGAGTGCAGTGGATGTGATCATGGCTCACTGCAGCCTCAACATCCCTGGGCTCCGGTGATCCTCCCACCTCAGCCTCCCAAGTAGCTGGGACTACAGGCATGCACCACCACACCAGGCTTTTTGTTTGTTTTTTGTAGAAGCAGGGTTTCACCATGTTGCCCAGGCTGGTCTCAAACTCCTGGGCTCAAGGGATCCACTTGCCTTGGCCTCCCGAAGTGCTGGGATTCCAGGCATGAGCCACTGCACCCAGCCAGTCATTTCTGTTTTAAAGGGGGAATAAATGGAGTGCTCAGGAGCTTCCAAGGCGCGGGCTGGAGGAAGCCTTGCGCTGTTGGAGATCTTCTTGAGGAGGGAGGGGTTCCGGGAAGCTGCAGGGCAGGCAACCCTTGGGAATGGCTCCCCTCCTAGTGCACCCAGAGACCTAAGGAGGGGTTGCGGGGGTGGGCACGGAGGGACTTGGATCTGAAGCAGGAATAACAAGAGGGCTAAAGCTCCTTCTGCAGCTGTCTCCATTACCATCAACACTGTCCTCAGCACCTATCCTGAGGCTCCCCCAGGGACGGTGGCACTCACACACTCCCCACGTGAGCAGGTGAAAATCAGACTCAGTCCCCTGAGCATCACTGTTACATGCAAAATCTCCACCTGTCCCAGCCACCCCACCTTGCCATGCAAGCTCAAATGCCACCCCTAGGAATTCCCAAACATCTTCAGCTCTCTTAGTCAGGGATCATTGATCATAAGGATCATAGATCACTTAGGGCGAAGGCAAATAACAGCAATAACGATATGGACATATATTGGGTCTTACAATGTGCCAGTTCTAAACATTAGACAGGTATTGATTCATTTAATACTCACATCCACACTGTAAGTTGGTTACTACTGTTTACCTCATTTTACATATGAGGAAATCAGGCACAGATTTAGTAACTAACGCAATGTCATACCACTAGCAACTTAAATTCACTGAAGTGAGAACAAACAGGAAATTAAACATAGCCAGAGGATGAAGACTGACAGGAACAGAGGTTACCACTAGCTCTTGGTCTCCTTGGTCCATTTCTGCTCTTTCTCTGCTGGCTTTGTTCTTCTGCTTGTATCCAGCTCAACACAGTCACCCCAAACCGCAGTCTATAGGGTTTTCCAGTTAAGGTACCCACCATCTCCTAACTTGTTCCTAATTCACGGAATAGAGAATCTCACAGGAGGGTCAGCTCCATCCAGTGGTGTGCTGGTATATGTCTAGCAGTTGACTGGGGAAAAAGAAAGCCCTGATTTGTAGTGTTTGCCAATATCCATGGTGTAAATCCCACCGTGGCTGATTTCAAGCTACCCATACTCACTGAATGCAGAGCTTGGAAGAGGTGTGCACAATTTTCTCACATGAATCAGGACAGCTATTATGCACCACTGGCTGCACCTATGTATCAAGTCTCTGAGTCAGGTGTCCACCCTGGCCAATCGGCTGTGGCTACAATGGGGTCATGTGACACAAATATGGCTGCCAGAGCCCATCCTTTCATGGCAAAGCAGGCTATGGGAGGTCAATTTCAGAGAAAGAGATGAGGCCCCTGACATTACTGAAAATATGCTGGTTCTTGGCTACAACACATTCATTTCCTCTTCTGCTAGTAACACACTCTGGTTTCCTCTTAGTGGAACCTCTTGTGCTTCAGAAAGTGAAGCACGTGAGGGCTTCACCCTGTACTCCAGGCTGAGAGCATGGGCCCTAGACCCAAGCAAAACAAGCACACAACATGATCCAGTTAGAACCAGGAAGACCCAATTAGACTTGCTGGGCGCTATGGTTTGAATGTGGCCCCCCAAAAAAACACGTGTTGGAAACAACCCCCAGTGCAACAGTGCTGGGAGCTGGAGCCTAGTGGGAGGTGTTGGGTCATGAGGGCTCCACCCTCATGAATGGATTAATGCTGATTATAAAAGGATATGAGGCTTCGAGTTCCATTTTTCTCACTCTCAACCTCTTTTTGAGATGGATCTTGTTCTGTCTCCTAGTCTGGAGTGCAAATGGTGCAATCACGGCTCCCGGCAGCCCTGACCTCCCAGGCTCAAGCAATCCTCTCACCTCAGCCTCTGAAGTAGCTGGGACTACAGGCGCATGCAGCACCATACCTGGCTTTGTTTTTTTGTTTGTTTGGTTTTGGTTTTTTTGTAGAGACAAGGTCTCCCTATGTTGCCCAGGCTGGCCTCAAACTCCTGGACTCAAGTGATCCTCCTGCTTTGACTTCCCAAAGTGTTGAGATTACAAGCATGAGCCACCAAGCCTGGCCTCACCCTCTCTTGCTCTTCTGCCTTCTGGCATGAGATGACATGGCATGAAGGCCCTCACCAGATGCTGGCACCATGCTCCTGGACTTCCCAACTTCCAGAACTATGAGACTGGAATTTATCATGAACAGAATGAAATTTCTTTTCATTATAAATTACCGAGTTCGTGATATCCTGTTATAGCGGCATAAAATGGATGAAGACACTGAGGCTTTTGTCAGAGACAGAGGCTTGATTGCTGGAACTCTGGGGACTGTAAGACTAGAACTGCTGACCCCGCAGGAGCCTCAGGCTGAAGCTGACTCAGAACAGAGTGGAGAGCTAGAGACACATCCTTTGAGCCCTGAAGGTGGCCTGACCACTGTCCTGTTACATAAACCAATACATCCTTGTTTGGATTGGACTTTCTATCATTTTGCAGCCAAGTCTGGACACATGA